AATGACGTGATGAGTTCGTTGGTTTCCCAAAGCTTCTCGAAGACATCGATGACACTTGGCTCCATACGAGCCTCCCATGCCATCTGCTCATGAGAAGCACCGTACGCAGAATACATACTACAGAAGTAAGGGATATCAGTCCCGGTCCTCTTTCTTCGGGAAAGCAGGTTCTTCAACTTACCCTCCCTTGAAACTGACTGGAAGGTGATCCGCAGTCCATGTAGTAGGGTCACTCTCGTCGAAGCCAAGTTCAAATCTCTTCAACCATTCGATTTGCTTGTCGCAGTAATATTGGGCACGCTCCTTACTGATAACGTCCTTGATGATTACGCAGCCGTTTCGGTGGAACTCATCGCGCCAGTCCCCATAGTGCTTGCCAGCGTCAAATGTGACGAGATCTTTGCTTTCGAACTGAGCAGCAAAGGTTCTCCTCGCTTCCACTCGATCAATGGTCTGTGTTACCGTTGCCATTTCAGTTTTCGGGGGTATGGTTCGATTCCTACAGTGTGTTACTATAGCTTTCAGTCTGTCGTGCGGGTGTTGAAGTTGTATGTAATCCAATACACTAAGGCGGCGGAAGTATGCAATTGTAACGACCTGTTCATGCGGTTTTGTAGTATTTTGATTTGGTGACTGTGTGTAGATCAGATCACTCCATGACTTCAATTGAGGAAGTGCCGGCCCCGCACATCTCGACCCGGCCCCGTGAGATAGTCGGGGAATGGTTTCCACCGGGCCGGGTCTTCGGCTCGGCTCGGTTCGGGAGTGGGGGGGGGGCGGTGGAGTATGCTGTCTTGGGCGCTTTGAGCTGGTCAACCTCTTCCATCGTGGGAGGACTCAAAACACAGGGCGAACAAGTTCTCAAGAGACTATTCGGGTGCTCAATCCAGAAGTGCAATTGTGATTGCATAGTATCGATCTACCAAACTTTATTTGGCTTTGATAATTATATAGTAAGACTAGAAGTCATTTGGGACTCCTGCAATCCAATCACACTGGAGCGAGAATGATAACGACAGATAAGATGGCACAATAAGTTGGAACCCCCATTCGAAGCAGTTAGCATGTTGTCTTGGTATAGTCAAGTCAGATTCTGTCAGGGTTTTAGTAGTAAACATGACAGAGTTACTGACGAAACGCATCGTAGACCCTGTCGCAGGGCAAGAATGGTTTTTACAAAGTCAACTGAAATCCACTGTGTTACTGAAATAGGTCAATACGAAGAGGAATCATTGATCTACACCTAATATGCTATCATATCTATGAGGAGCACCGGCAACCAGCGATCCGGAAATAGTAAAAGGCTTTTACAAAATAAAAGCTAAATTGAGTTAAGGATTATGCTCAAGACATTTTGTTAACAAAGGGAGTAACATAAAAGCATGTAGAGTTAATACAGAGGTAGTTGGGTACCTTATAATAATGCATTTATTTATTACTACAATTACCGTAAGGCTTTCAAGCATTCTCGAAAGATTATCTAAGATAATTATAACAGTATTCTGTTTACTTAGTATTAATTCGAATGCTCTTTGAGCAGAATATTCCCAAGATATGTTGAGTAAAATATTAGTTATCTTTGGAAATTGTAATCAGTACAAAGCTATCCTCCTTGGTTTTGTTGTTTTCTTTTCGGAAATCACTTATCATTTCTTAAGACTTAGTTTATCAATATAACACAGTGTCGGATTGGAAGTCCAATTCGACCTCGGCGTACGGCGAGGCTGCGCAGGGGTCAATTAGGGCCCTATTTCCGATTATCGCAGCCTGCCCAACCTACGGTTGGAAACCTCCCTTTTACGCCTACGCAGCAGAATATATAGTCAATTGACCTACTTCGTCAAAACCACGGTTCGAACCAATCGACCAATATCCCTGTGATAGGGATACCAACACACAGTTATGCTACTATTTCCAGCCCTTCTTGCACGCGTGATGGAACTGCGGGTGAACGAAATGACAATTGCTTACCAATTAGGTTACCTGATAGTAATGTATATGAGTCAAGTCTGAGGCGAAGTTGTCGTGACAGCAAGGAGGAGTCGCCGACCTACGGGGACAAATCGATGGGTCCCGAGGAGCTTGACTTGGTTGGATGGAGAATCGCAAACGGAGCCCACTTCCGGTGTGCCGCCGCCTGCTATTTTGAGTGACACATTCGGTACCGGACGAACTAGCTATCGTGAGGTCCGCGTTAGACCGAGCATCTCCCTTCTTGTCATTCTAGAGCAGGAGCTTCCTCTCCAAGCTGACATATCTGAAAATCTAAAATCATATTGCAGACTTAATAAGCTGGAGGCAAAATGGTCCTTTCCAGATCTCATAGTTAACATTTCTTTCTAGGGTAGTCCACAGTCACTCAACACGAGCTGACAAATGACGATATTGCTTTGTAGGCAATGAACGAGCAGTCGATATCAGAGTCGTGACGCAATCGCCAGGAGCCACACTACCATCACAATACATGTTAACTGTGGGATCTGACGAAGGGGGACGCGGCTTTTGCTAGGGAATGAGGATGACATTACTCCACAAAGGTGGCGTGGGTCCACTTCTCCTCCTGGTCCTGCTCTGACGGCGTTGCTGGAAGTAGATTATTCTCAGTCCCAGTATTTGTGTGTTATAGTGTGCCTTGTTCTGTTGTAGATGGTGTGAAGATTCTATCCAGGATAGACTTTGATATGCATATGTATCTAAAGTCCCTTCTCTTCCCTTAAAAACTTTTGGGCCAACATTGCACGCCGTCTACTTTCGCTCTTTCTAGTCTACCCCAAACCCCTAACTTGACTCTAAACCTCTTCCTTTGCTGCCTGACTATTGCTTTGCCGATACATAGTCATCAAATGTCGCCGTTGATGTTGAGGGAGATTGACAGCTTGGAAGTGGCTGTCATCGTGACAGACGAGTTGGACCCTATTTCACCTTCCCCGAATCCCGATATCCGACATCCTAGCCATTTCTTGGACATTCCTGTTTCTCCTATTGAACTTCCTCAGACACGCGGAGGTGCAGAGATTGAGATGAAGATGAGCAGCATATGCTGCGCTGCTCATGGTCTCAGTCTCATGATTGTGAGTCTCCCACTAAGCCCTATCTCGAAAACTACTCAAACCAGTGATGATTGATTGCGAGTGCTAACGCTCTGAGCAGACTGCGAAGTGTGGTGAAAGTACGAAAACCTTGCTTTTTGACGCAGGACCTGAAGGGGAAGTGTGGGACAGAAATGCCAGGAGAATGAACGCGAGAATTGGCCACATAGACCATATTGTGTTGTCCCATTATCACAGAGACCACTCAGGTACGTGATTTACTTTTGACATTGCGCCTACTTTCCCCTACTGACTGCATCGACTGTAAAAGGTGGCTTATTGCGGGCCATCGACATGGTCAAGGGGAGCAATACCCTTGGTTCTGATCAGCTTATTGTTGATATGCATTCAGATCGTCCTGAATACCGCGGCATCGAGACTCCTCAAGGCCCTATTTCTCTCGAAGCAGACCCTACGTTCTCTGACGTGGAGCAGGCAGGTGCTCAAGTCCTACTATCACGAGATGCACATTCCATTCTCGATGACATGTTCGTGGTTTCAGGCGAAATTCCTAGACAGACAACGTATGAGACTGGGATTCCTGGGGGTCTGAGATTCGTTCCATCGTCTGAAGGAGACAATGGGGGTTCATGGATGAAGGATGAACAAATTTTGGAGGAGAGATACGTTATGTGTAACGTTAGAGGTAAGTCCGCTCTTGCACCTTTGATAATGGCCAATCATTGATGTTTACACATCTTTAGACAAGGGACTCGTCGTCTTCACCGGCTGTGGCCATGCCGGTGTAATCAACACCACTCGCGATGCTCAACGTCTTAGCGGGGTGCAAACTGTCTATTGCATCTCTGGCGGTTATCACATGTCCGATGCAAGCCCTGGGAAGCTGCAGAGAACGGTGGAGGATATGGTGAAGTTGTCACCGCGTATCTTGCATGGAGGCCATTGCACTGGCTGGAAGTTTAAGACGGAAATTGAGAAGATCGACCCAGGGACCGTGGCGCCTTGCACAGTTGGTGTGACCTATACATTATAATTGATAGATGATTGATAGTGCCAAACGAAAATTTCCATGAAACCACACTCTTAGTCGTTGTTTCTTGTCACGATCTCTAAGCTTTTCTCTGACTCTCTCTTGCTGTGCCTTGTGCTGTCTAGATTGCGAAGCTCAACGATTAAAACGCTTGCGGGCTTGGTGCCCCTAGCCAATACACAACTTCCCCGTTTTTGAAGGTGAAAAAGTTGCTCTAGATAGAATTCAGACATTTTTGAGCCATTAACATTTTGGTTGTCTCTTGAGGGAAGTTCCGATTGTAGAACCTATGAGACGTTGCCTGGACATCACCCTCCGACAGCTTGATTCCCCGCTTAGAGCTGAGTTTTACGCAGCGAACTCGGCTCACATTCGTTCTCGGAACAAGGCGCTAATGTTTTCGTCCATCTCGCAGCGGATAATTACGGAAAAAAGGCCCAGAATCCAGCCGAAGTTCGAAAACCGATACCGAACGCCCAAGCGCATTTCGAATTTCGACGTTTGATGACAAGCTTGAGATTGTTCCCCCAACGAGGCACCACAAAAGTTGAGTTGGTTTCAAGGAATTACGGATTTATTGGTAATCTTCCGGTGAGTATTGTGCCCTTGTCACTTAGCTTTGTCAGTCTTGGTGGGTTCAATTTGTTTTCTGCCGACATGGCCCACAGATAAAAGTAGCCAATGGCAGCTGCTTTTCTACATCTGGAGGTCGCTGCTTGCGCCTCGGATCGGTAAGCCATTGGAGATTATGACTTATCCAGGCTGCCCGATGAATGGCGAAGTCATCGCGGATCTAAACTGCTAGGTCTAGTGACGTGTCTACGGTATGAAATACGCGTATAGTCTGGGCCCATGATCCACTGCAGAGATCGGCTTGAATCATATCTAAGACTCATACCTAGGTAGCGGAACGCTTTGTTTCTTACACAGTCATTATCCGCGCTGAACAGGGAGGCGTTCTTCCCCGTCATCGACACGAAGAGAGCGCGGAGATATACGTTATCAAAGGCAACGGCAAACATCCTCAGACAGGCCACTTTGCCCAAGGGGACTACGTCTCAGAGAGAAAAGGGGCTATTCACGATCCTCTCGTCTTTCACAACGAGGTGGAGATGCTCATGATTAGCCAAGGACCATCGACTTTCCTTGATGATGAAGGTCGCGACTTGTATCGGATGGACATAGCAATGCTTCAGGGCCTGGAGTCGATCAAGACATAGCAGCGAGCCTCACATTGTCCAAGGGTTGAGATTCTGAAGGGGGAATGAGAGGTGGCTCAAGATTGGAAATCATTCTCGATCAGATGTTTCATCAATACTACGAGGAGTGGAGACTGTTCGCCAAAGTGTCGTGTTCTGTGAGCCTACGGACTTCTTTTATGAAGAGAAAGAAGAGTTAGCGTAGCCAAATAGACAGGAAGAATACGTAGGAGCGTTGCGATAGCGGGCGACGACTATCGTCCTACATTGCGGTCACTTCATTGATGTCTTACCCAGAGGCATATCAAGGTCGGAATCGACCTTGCCTCGACCAAGTCTGATTGCTAATGTATAGGGCCGTTGCGAGCAAAACCTGTCTATCGGGACTTGATCTTGCCAGCTGTGTTTACGGATGATGAGTCGGTACGCACTCATCAGGACTTATCCACAGGCTGACCGTTATACGAATTCTTTCTCTGGACATTGAATGTCTGGTTAAGGACGCTTTTTGGTCTTCATTATAAATGAATATTAGAAGGAACGTTGCACTACGTACGCCTCTTACTTGGACACTTGCTTATGGATGCCAGCGATGGTACATGTTCTATGCAGCCGCCTTGTCAGTCCGAAAGAACCCCTACCCAGTGATACTATCACTTTCTGCTCATCTTGTACATGCAACCTGGCAATAGAGTTTGATATGATCCCCGGCAAGGTCACAGAGTGAAAGACATTGTCGAGCACCCTCACTGCTTTGGTGGCTACAGGGGTCATCTATGTCGGCCTTGGGAAATGAGACAAGCAGCTCCTGGAACGACCCTCTGATCATCAATATGTAGCGAGACACGAACTTTGGAAGTGTAAGCGTACTTTCCTTAGCAGAAAGTGCCACTTAATGATGCGGTCAAGTAAACGATCAGCAACTCAGCCACAAATGGTTCCATTACCATCAATATCATTGGGCTCGTATCAAGTCCAGGGGTTATGAGGACGAAGTTGCACTGCACACTGCACTGAGTCGAGTAGTCTTGACGGAAAATGTCTAAGGGAACTTGGTGTTGAATACCAAGATCATGCGTCCCAATTATCGTCCGCCTGAAGCATCCATCATATCACTAAATCGGCTGTGCCGGCACCGCGACTTGACTGACTAGCCGTGAATCACAGCAATGTGATGGGATGGGCAGATCTCCGTTAGGCTAGCAGTTTATACGATGCACCCTCAAGATGAGCTGCGCTACACTTTGTGATTCCAGCGCCTAAGGTAGGATGTGGTTACAACAGAACATTAATGCGCCATTCCCCGTTTTCGGCCCGCCTCTAGGCTGACCACTAACGGTCACATCCAATGAAGAGAATTGACGGAGAATCTTTCTTGGCAGATCCTCAAGTTCGAGGAAAGCTTGAAAGTACCGCACCAATCGACTTGTTGCCAGCATCCACTCTATCGTGCGGGGAAGGCGAACCAGGGGCCAGCCTGCACAAGCCTACAATTAACATACCATCAGTTCATGAGTGTAACCTCACCTCCGCAATCGACCATGCGCACCAGTCGTTGAACGAGTTAATAGTGGAGTATCAGTATCACGAGGTTTGCGTCGTATAAGGCCGCTGTTGTTCCCCATGGGGAAGCGTTAGGGCGGCGGGCTGATTTGATGTTAGTGACAACTATAAAACATTCGTAGCAACCTGGGTGCTGCCTCACATCGGCAAAGAGTTGTCGGCTTTCAGAGCTTGAGTCATTCGTTGAATTCTCAATACCAAACCTTCGTGCCGAGCCTTGGCCCAAATCGTTGAGATGATGTGGTTTACGACAGAAAGCCTGCGAGGCCTAGCGTGCCTAGCGATAGTTGTGGGATCGTCCGTCTGGGACGTGACCGCACAGGCCGTGCCTCCTGTCAGCCAAGAGAAGGGTGTCTCGGCTTGGGCCTTCGACATGAGCCAGGTCACGTTGAGCAGTGGACGCTTCTTCGACAACCAGGCTCGTACTCTGACGTACCTTAAAGCGGTCGATGTTGAGCGCTTGCTGTACAACTTCCGCAAGAACCATGGACTGTCAACCAACAACGCGGCGACCAACGGCGGATGGGATGCCCCGGATTTCCCATTTAGAACTCACGTCCAAGGCCACTTTCTGAATGCATGGGCATTTTGCTACGCCCAGCTCCGCGACGCCGAATGCAAGAGTAGGGCTACTTACTTTGCTGCCGAACTCAAGAAGTGTCAAGCCAACAACAGCAAAGCTGGCTTTACTACCGGCTACCTTTCTGGCTTTCCCGAGTCTGACATCAACGCTGTTGAAAACCGCACTCTCAGCAACGGCAACGTTCCCTACTATGCCATTCACAAGACCATGGCTGGCTTGCTCGACGTTTGGCGCCACATCGGTGACACCAACGCGCGAGACGTTCTTCTTGCGATGGCAGCGTGGGTCGACTCTCGTACGGGAAAGCTCACGTATGCCCAGATGCAAGCCATGATGGCCACAGAATTTGGAGGAATGAATGAAGTCTTGGCCGACATCTTCCACCAAACCGGGGATCAACGTTGGCTCACTGTTGCACAGCGATTTGACCATGCCGCCATATTTGATCCTCTTGCTTCAAACCAGGATAGCCTCAATGGCTTGCACGCGAACACTCAAGTTCCAAAATGGATCGGTGCCTCACGCGAGTACAAAGCCACGGGAACTAGTCGATACCAGGACATCGCCCGTAACGCATGGAACATCACCGTCAGCGCGCATTCGTACGCAATTGGTGGGAACAGCCAGGCAGAGCACTTTAGGCTCCCCAATGCCATCGCTGCATTCTTGAATCAAGACACTTGCGAGGCTTGCAACACGTACAACATGCTCAAGCTCACTCGAGAGCTTTGGTTGACAAACCCGAGCGCCACAACTTACTTTGATTTTTATGAGCGTGCTTTGCTCAACCATTTGCTGGGCCAGCAGAACCCATCTGATGGTCATGGTCATGTCACATACTTCACTCCCTTGAACCCGGGTGGACGTCGTGGTGTCGGTCCGGCCTGGGGCGGTGGAACCTGGAGTACAGACTATGACTCCTTCTGGTGCTGCCAAGGAACTGGGTTGGAAACAAACACTAAACTCATGGACTCCATCTACTTTTACGACAACTCTGCGCTCTACGTCAACCTGTTCATACCCTCTGTTCTGACATGGACTCAGCGCAGCGTCACTGTTGCCCAAACCACCGATTTCCCCCGCGGTGATACAACGACCCTGAAGGTCACTGGTGCTGGCAAATGGGTTATGCGTGTCCGTATCCCAGCATGGGCTTCTGGAGCTCAAGTTACTGTGAATGGCCAAGCCATAAGCAGTGCCGCTGGAACATATGCGTCAATCGACCGCACCTGGGCCTCGGGCGATACCGTGGTTGTGAAGCTCCCTATGAAGCTACAAGTCATTCCTGCGAACGACAACCCCAGCATCGCCGCAATCGCCTACGGTCCTGTCATTTTGAGTGGAAATTATGGAAGCGAAACACTTTCTACTACCCCAGCGTTGAACTTGGCCACCGTGAAGAGAACTGGAACTACTGGATTGGCTTTTACGGCGACGGCGGGTGGCAAGACTGTGAACCTTGGACCCTTCTATGATGCCCAAGGTTTCAATTATAACGTGTACTGGTCCATCAGCGGAAACTTGCCCGCATGAGATGCGAAGAGACTCATCCGGATTCCACTCTTTCACATTACATTCCCGTACATACTTAAACACCTCGACCTTTTTGGGCACTAAGGAGAATGCACCCACAACTTATCGGGGAAACCATCGATAGCATAAATGTAGGTAACATAAGTGTGTAAATAAATCGAGGCTATGATTCTGTAACTGAGATTCCCGTGTTGGACCATTGCTAGACTTGCAGAAACTGCCCATCTCTAGCAGCCTTGACCCTCACACACTGCCTGTTCACTTTCAAGTATCGATCGAAGGCGTCTGTGCCGATGACAAATGGATGTTGAGTGCCGTCTGGTCTATGATCCAAGAGATCGAAGTGATAGAGCGCTCGGTCTTGGTTCTGGTGGTTGGCAATGAGTGTATCCACATCCGCCTTCTTTGCCAGGTCCGCGAATCGGTTCAAAGACATGATTTGCTGGTCCTTGGCTGACGCACTGCTCGGAATGCCAACGCCGCCATAGAAGCCAGCGACATGGTTTGTGCCCTTGTCAAATACTTCAAAGATTGTCGACACAGTGCCTGGTGTATGCCCTGGCGTCACGAAAAAGCTGAATGTAACATTGCCGATAGTCAGTCGGTCACCATCTGAGATGGTTCTGTCCTTGATCGGCCCGTCCTGAATCTGCGATAGAGTTTCCCAAGCCGCAGCTGAGGCGTATGTGGCGAAGGAATAGTTATCTTGAAGCCATCGAGCCCCGCCATAATGATCAAAATGTTCATGGGTAATGACGAGATGTTTGATGTCGCTGGCAGTGAATCCAAGTGTCTCGAGAGAGGGGATCAGGATGCCTTCGGCCTCAGCAGCATTGTTGAGAGCATCGAAGACAACGAGGCCACCACCAGTATTGTAAGCCCATGCCGAGACAGCACTCTGCCCAATGTAATATAATCGGTCAAAGACCTCGCGAGGGGCAATGAACCCTGATATCTGTGTGGCGGAGGAAAGCTCAGGGTAGACTTGGCCGAGAATGCAGCGGTGTGCAAAATATGGGTACAGATCTGGGCCTGCAAGCGTTCGTGCATCGTTTAACCATTTTGTGACATTGTCTTTTTGCTCCTTTGGAAATTCTGTAATGTTGAAGAAGTCTTCAAATTGCGCGCGGGCAAGACCCGCCAAAGCCATTAGGCTCCACAACGTTGAGATGTTAGATTTCATGATGAATGCCTGACATAGAAAGCAGTCTTTAAAAGAAGGGTTTACGTTTCAACGTCTCGACCAGTTAATTTATACACGCACTCAAATTCTCTGCTCGAATATACGTGGCCAAGCAGAATCTGCATGTCTGTGTTTCCCGGGCGCGTAACCATCTACCGA